TAAAAAAGTAATTATAACAGAAAATGACCAGAATGTTGAGAGACTTACCGGATACCCAATTAAAAATGTAAGGGCCTCAGTGGCTGGAAAACTTCAAAATAAATCGGTGTAAGGTTTAACTATTCGTCTTCCCCGGTGTGTAGAATGACCAAATGTCCTGACTGTCAGGCTTATAATGGTGGTGGTCGGTAACGAATTTCACATTTTTTTGCCTGTTGAATAAAAAATGGGTAATTTCTATCGAAGAAATATATAATCAATAAGTTATTACTAATTATTCATGAAGGTTGCACATTTGTTAAAATGGATTTGATTTACTGGAGTGGAGCTTAGCATGGTGATAATACTAAGATGTCCCCTATGAATTAATTTTTATTTAGAAGCTATAAATACGGCGGATTACTATGCAACTCAGCGGAAGCACTCAAAGTACCTTTCAATTTGGTACAGGACCAGGTAACCTCTTTTATCTTAGCCCCTCTGTAGATCTATTGTAGTACTGCAAAATTCAACAGAGGCCTATTGTTTCTCTCAAAATGACAGCTTAATAATTTTAAGTATTCGTTTGTAGAAATGGGAAATTGAATATTGAGAAGATTTCCAAAGACTGAGTCAAACCTTACATTTCACAAAAACAAGCATTTTCGTACTTTAAAATTCGAAAACATTATATTCATTTCACATGGCGGACTTTATGACACTTATCATTTGCCCTTTAGCTGACTTCGGGCTTCACAGAGGGAAGGAAGAACATCAAAGTGAGAAAAAGTAGAGAGGGAGGACAGAAGAATGATTTAAAGATGTTAAAGAGATACAAAGGCAGAGAAAAAGTAGGGATAAGTATGGTGGAAGTGATCGAATAAGACATACAGTGTGGTGGAAGTGATCGAATAAGACATACAGTGGGATCATGGCAGTTTGAAGTCAGAAGTCGATTGCTGGTTTATAGACTTTTTGCCGTACGAGAATACGTTGCCCGGGGTGCCCCACGTGGAGGTAAGTTTATCGCACACCTCCACATTAGAAAACATTTTATACCTTGAAAGCAAATTATGGTTACATTGGAGATGTTACTGATTATGATCAGCCATTCGAGTATTTTGGGTCGGAAAAAGAGTAAGAAGAGATGATAAGTTTCTATTCATTGCCATTTCAGTCAAGAATCAAGCTATTGTTGATCAACATGGCTTCATTATACCAATACTTCCTGGAAAAGTCCATTTATATTGGATGGACAAACTTGGAAATTTGAAACAAAAGTAAATGAAATCATGCTGAATTAACGTGAACCAGCAGGTACTGAAGGTGACTATGAAAGAGTTCGAAGATGTAAACTGTTCCCGGAACTCATTAAAATAATTGTGGAAGCTCTGTACCAAATGGTATATTTTATTTAGCATTCTATGTAGACGAGACCTGCAGATCAAAGAAATACTTTAAAGCTTGGAAAATATATGATCTTTAATTTATAATTTATTAATGCAAACTGCTGGTTGCTTAAGTGGATATGGTAGGTGCCAAGACGCTATAAAACATGATCAGGACTCAACGACACGCAAGAGCTCTGGTCCAAGTCTCAATGCAACAGGCTTAAGAAATCATAAATTTAAAAGCTGCCTTTAAATCAAATTCTTTTAAATGCTGTCTACAAAATATTGCAGAAAGCCCTTTTTATTCTAGATATACATCTGAAAATGCATTTAAATCGGCTCATTTGTTCACGTTTAACGGATTAATTCAATTTGAAGACGTAAATTTGGTTCGTTAGCATAGATTAGGAAAAATAGACGTTCGGGACTTCGGAGTATATCTTCAGTCTCATGGAGGATGCTTTCAGTCAAGTTTTGGAGCTTTAAGAGCCAGCATTTAGAACAAAATCAATTTCTTCTTAATGGAACTTCTGCAAGCATGTCTGAAAGTAAATTAATCCTGATCTCAATCGATTTCCCATAACTTTATCCCCCTTAAAGTGATGACCAGAAGAGGGATAAAAAGAAATCTTTAAGTGGTGCTTAGATTTGATAAAATCTTGACAAATTAACAACCCTAATTGTTTGGTGGCACCAATATATAAGCTTAATCAGCTTAGTTCGTATATTCCTACAGCTTTATTTATATAATAAGGGGTGTCCGATAGACTTACCTCCACGTGGTGCACACTGGGCAACGTACTTTCAAATGGCAGGCGTTATGATAGGTATCATGGGGTGTGCAATAGACTTACCTCCGTGGTGCACCCTGGGCAATGTATATTTAGACTTACCTCCACGTGGTGCACCCTGGGCAACGTATCCACATATGGCAAAAGGTACCTCCACGTGGTGCACCCTGGCCAACGTATAATCATACGGTCTTACCTCCACGTGGCGCACCCTGGGCAATGTATACTACACCTTACCTCCACGTGGTGCACCCTGGGCAACGTATTCTCATTCGGCTACCTCCACGTGGTGCACACTGGGCAACGTATACTCATACGGCAAAAGTCTATTAACCGGCAGTTGACTTCTGACTTCAAACTACCACCACCCCACTGTTTGTCATATTCGACCACTTCCACAGTACTAACCTCACCTTTCATCTACCTTTGTATCCGCCTGTCTCCTTTAAATCTGTGAATCGTTATTCTGTCTCCCTTTTCAACTTTTTGTCACTTTGATGTTTCTCCTTATCTCTATGAGGACCGAATTCAGCTAAATGGCGAATGATAGCTATCAAAACGCCCGCCATTTGAAATAAATAATAATAAATAATAATCAGCTTTTAAATTTAAAAACAGAGCAAAGATTTTTATATTTTGGGGTTGCGGATTCGATAGTGTCAAAAATTAAATAATTCAAGGCTTGGAACTCAACACAAAACACAATAAATTATATTTTGAGACAAAAGTAGACATAATGATGTATTATTTCTTCAAATTGCCAGGAACTCTTTCAGCAACTCGATCTTATTTCCAAACTCTACTCACTCTCTTTCTCCTGTTCTTAACGATTAAAGGTTGAATTTTCCTTTGTTAAAAGTCATTTACAGATTGTTTTTTTCGAACTATAATATCCATGGTTAGAGGAAATATGATGTACTTTTTTTATTATAAAATTATTTTATATCATTGAAATTATGTATAAAATGACGAAATGCCCCAACTTTTTTAACATGCCCTGGCATTACTTAAAGCCCAATTGTTCCAAATCAAGATCCTCTCCAAATCAGATGAAAGAACTGAGTCGACTAGACTGGAAAAGACAACTGAGAGAAAATATTTAGTTTAGTTGATCAGCTTCACGTCTGTCATGTCAATGGCTACGAGATTATTGTTCACCTTTGTCGCAATTGAATTTGTGTTCAGATTTAATAATTACAGTTTCTTGTCAGAAACTTTGCATATTTCGGTTCATTCTTAGATCTAAACTACTTGTTTTATTTCCTTTGAAATCTGTTTTCATGAAGAAAGTGAAATGAATATGTATAAAACTGAGAATTTTTGAGAATAGAATTTACCCGTTGTTAGGGAATAGAGGCCCAATTTGATCTGAGTATATATTTTATGATTGTGACGGTAAATTTATATCAGATGGTTGTCAAATTCAGTCCTTCAATGTGGAAGGAAATTAAAGTACGGAGTATGCGATTTGATAAGATTTAGGGCCATAAACAAGCAATCCTTTGGCGGATAAATGACGAAGCAAGATTTCAATCTATCGAAATCAACTGTTGTTCTGGGGGTTAAGAAATCGCGTACTTGCTAGTAATTACTAGTATCACTGAGACGGTAGGAGCCAATAGTATTATTGGCCATAGAGTGGTTGCAACACCCAACCTCAGTAAAATATTCATTTAATTTTTTCTGTTTAGCTTGAAACTATCTGTGTAAAGTGGGGTGTGCAATAGACTTACCTCCACGTGGTGTATCCTGGGCAACGTATACTCATACGGCAAAAAAGTCTATTGAACGGCGGTTAACTTCTGACTTCAAACTACTATGACCCGACTATTTGTCATATTCGACCCCTTCCATGGTACTTATCTTACCTATTCTCTGCCATTGTATCTGTCTGTCTCCTTTAAATCTGTGAATCATTATTCTGTCCCCCTCTCGTCTTTTTGTCACTTTGATGTTTCTCCTCCTCTCTATGAAGCCCGAATTCAGATAAAGGACTAATGATAACTATCAAAATGCCTGCCATTTGAAATAAAAAAATTTAGTGTAAAATAGTAATTGCTTAAGCATAAATGATAAGACGTCTTCTTTACTGTAATTGACACTTACGAATAATTCAAAGGCCCGCAGAAATTACCACGTCTACCAATTTTAGCTGGTTATCCTACCCTCTTTGTTGAAACAAATATCTTAAGTGGAGCACATCTTCCTTAAGTCCTATGCTAACTTTAAAATATTCATATTAAGTTCACATTGAAGTAAAGCGATTTCTACTGAATAATCGGAATATTAAGCGTGGTATAAATTTTTAGACGACAGTTCTTTTAGCATTCGTGGACTAAAGAAAAATAAATTGCATCTTCACAGTATTCAATGGAAAATATTGTTTTCTTACCCTGATACTTGACTAAATAAATCATACTAATTAGAAAATAGCGCTTACTGGCCTACGCCAACCATTCAAGATTCGAATTAAACAAAAATTCTCCCTTGCCTTTCCTGCCTCTTTACTTTCCCTCGACAACAAATGACTACTAAAAGAGCCTCTCAACGCTGTAGATACCTCGTATCACATTGATCAATTGAATATATACTGTGCCTATCATTGATAAGCATAAATTACTTCTGATAATTTAAGTATATTTTTTAAGCTAACATTTTACACGTGCTAATTACTGGTAATCTGGACTGACCAATTGAAAAAGCGCCCGTGTAGGATGGGCCAATTGAAGAGGGGGAAGAATCGCACGAGAGTAGCCAATAAGCATGGCAGTTACGGCATGGCGTGAATAAACACCTTGTGCAGAACTGAGGAGCAGCCAAAATCACGCAGATAACTGCTATGGAACGACAGATCTGCGACTACCACCCAGCTACAATGGCAGAGATGGTCATGATGCAACAATATATGAATAATCATCCCAACCACTGGACTTCCCAAATGCCCCATGAAACCAATACGGGTATCTACCACGGATTCCCCCTTGATTCCTGTGGGGACTACGCTTCCCCAATCTTCAAAGGTCCAAATTATTCAAACTCCTTATACGCACCTCCGGAAACCATGTTGGGTTTTTCTTCAGATCACTATTCCCTGAAGCCAACCGATGATAAGGACAACTTGCTCTCGAAAAGCCTTCCATCCAGTGAGTAAAATTCGACGTTTCATTTCGTTAATGAGGTCAACTTGAGGTCAAATAGGTCCCCTTTATTCTAAATCATTCCGTTTCACTGTGGTATGTAAGCCAATTTCAGCCTCCCGCTGTGATTGAAGCTGGCATGCGACCGCATCAAGTCTATCAGTCGATAATTATTTGGGTAATTGGGGAAATTTTCAAGGGTTTTCGTGACGATTACTTGCCTTTTCTCGCACAGTTTTCTCGTGAGAGAGTGATAAGTGAAAAAGCGACGTACACGAAGGGTTTGCATGAGAGTCCAATTGGCCGAAGTCTTTTCTCTTCGGCCTTGAGTTTAAGAAAGCCGCTGTTAAGGCATCTCACAGTTCGCACGTGAACTGTATAGAGTTGCCAAAGAGTGCACTACTTCGCCTTGTCTCTTATTTTTTAAAATTGGCACTTTTATCAACCGATGAAGCAATGAAAAAGATGTAGTTAACCTATTTCCATCTTTTCGAAACAATTCCACTTCAAGCATAGTTGAGGAGATTTGGGAAATATATATATATTATTTTAACTGATGACCCACTAGAATAACATACCTATTCTGGTAAAAATAATATTAGAAAGAATACATGGATAAAAACTATTAAATGTTAAATTTCAGTACTTCCAAAAGAATTTTTCGTGCATTTCGACAGTCAGCGCTCAGGTACGCAAGTTGTACTAAGAGTAAATGCACTGCTTGTTTAATTCTCTATTGTAAATGAATACAAATACGTTTTTTGTACCGTGAAAGCCTCTAAAGTTAAGGGGGATATTTTACACAAAATCGATTTATGAGATACTTTTTATTTTTTTAATTTTGAAACAGTTAAATGAACTTTTAAATTAATTGAAAAAGACATTGTTTTGGATTTCATGCAAGTGTTTTTGCAAGATAAACTGCTTATCCCATTCGCTAAGAGAAATTAGCTAAAATCGTATAAACTATAGAAGCATCATTAGATGTTTAATTTTTTTTACTATTTAAATTTTAAAATCTGCTTTTAACATAAAAAATCCGGAAATACTCACGAGAGCGAAAGTTCCCATTTATTAGCAAAGCAAAATAATGATAATCCCACACACACATATACACACACACACCCAGTCATAAATGTGCAGATCTAACTTGGCGTTGCTGCTTTTGTGAAAATGGGTCGTTATATTCGGGAGTCAGATTCTGATAACCACGTCGTGATATAATACACCTGCCAGCATATTATAGTGTGCGAGGAAGCCATAAACTCCCAATAGGCATCATGGCATATGAGTGTATGTGCACATAGTGTGGCTTTTGTGTGTGTGTGCGTGTGTGTGTGTGTGTGGGTGCGAGCGCTAGATTAAAAAGGGAGGGATGGCGTTGGTGGGGGCGGTGGATGGCAATAGACCATTTGTCTTTTATTTCTCTCAGAGATGCTACTGCTTGCAGACTGCTACTACAGAGCTGCAGAGAGAGAGAGAGCGATAGAATTCACTGATATCCTCTCTCTCCCTCCCTCTCTCTCTCGGGACGCACTGAGGAAAGATCTCTATTACTCCCCTCTCACCACTCACCTCACAACTGATATAATCTATTATGGCAACTTAGAGTGTGAGTTTTTTATTGGAAAATATTCGTACCTCACTCTGACAGTCACTATCATTAGGAAAGTCTGTAAACATTCTGAAAGCCTCAAAATCTCATGGGCTAAAAGACTATTATAATAATTGCACTGACTATCTCTCTACTCAGATAATTGGCAAGATTATATGAACTACCAGTTAAGTGTCTTATCAGACTGAAAAATACATGTGGTAATCTCTTTTCCTATATTGGGGACATTCAGTGCCCTAAAAGTCAACTTTTCACTCTATGAGTTGTAGGTCTTTAGGTCGACACAGTGAAAACATGGGGGATTAGTATAGATTCATAGTTGAGGACACGAATCAATTGATGGGTCGTTTGGCCACTTATGTCTGGAATTGTGAAAGAACAAAAGAGATGCGAAAATAAGATTAGTGTATTTCCAAAGGCAATTAAGTCTGTTGCAAAGTTGACTTCATCAGTTAAAAGGCAACAACACTCCGCTTATCTGTAGATAGGGGTAAACAAAGGCTGCATTTAGAAAAAATTGGAAACGAATATTACTGTTTCCTGTGGAATATGTCCAGGATAAATCAGTCGCTTCTTGGCTTAATATTAGGTGAAACTGAGACAATAGGTATTGCTAAAAATGGAGAAGGTATGCATTTGGCTAAGATCATATTAAATGGTTGTCTAAAGGAGAAAATCCGATTGTTTCATGAGAGAGCTCCAATTCTTATTATCAGAATCACATTCGTTGCTCTTTCGAAATTTGCATTTTCATGCAATTGATTTTACCGCGTCTATTCAATAAAAGCATCATTCAAATGATATAATTATTTTTTCATTTTAAAGAGCTTTGAATTTTTTTAAATTGGACGCACACTGGTCCATTTCGTTTGTTAGTTTAAAGCGCTGATTTCTAAAGTCTCTCTTTCGATTGATATTAAAATTAATTATTACGTCAGTCCTCCATAAACTTGCTTTCATAATGAATTTAAAAGAAGCACTTTAGTAAAACTTTTGACTATTTATTTATTTAGTGTTCGATAAGTTGCAGCTGACGCATAATTAATAAATTAAATAAAAATGATTGTAATTTGAATCGAATTGTATAAATCTTGACAATATTTGGACATAAGATTTAGTAAATCGTATACTTTTCCGTGATTTTCAGCAAATATTTCGTTAGAGGCTCACGGAAAGGAGAAATAGTTGAATATATGTCTAGAAGTCACCTTTTATACTTATTATTACTATAATAATTAATAGTAGTAGATTGCCACTAATTTTAGCATATTTGGCATTGTGGTTACCTTATTATCACCATCCATTCAATTCAAAATATGAATTAACTTGACGGTAATTCTACAACTAATTTATGATACGCATTTATATGAATTTTTCACTTATAATGAAATTATTTAGACCCGTTTTAACCTCTCAACGAATAGAATTTGCTGAAACTATTTGTAATTATTTATTTATAAATTAACATATTATTATCTTTAATTGAAATATAAAACGTGCTTTCCCGTAGTCGTGAAATGGTTGAAAGTAGACTTGATTAAGTCATCAAATTAAGATGCAAAATGGGCGATAAGGTATCCGGTGAGTACCTTCGACTCCCTCTCAAGACTCATGCCGCCATCAAACAAACCTCAAGCCCTGCTTCGAGGCAAATCATTCCCCAATGCTGCAGTATTCGCTGTCATGAGTAGTCTGCAAAAGATGACTATCTCCATTTCGTGAGGGTATGTTTAGACTGGCCCGAGGATACGTGCGAACTACTCTTGGTCAGGCCACATTATCACGTCTTTCCGACCAAAAACAAGCAGTTAAAATTTTTAAAGTGCGATTGTCTTGGTTAAGGCGATATATAACTTTAAGTTATATTATTAATTGAGCAAATTTGAAATTTTCGAAAATGCGGACTTTGGCAAACCATTTGAGATATGATTAAGACGGGGAAATGAATAGCTTCTACTATAAAATTTATTTAATAAATATTTGAAATCTGGAAATCTTGGTCCTGAAATCATGGCTTCTGTACAATCGGGTTGGCACTGGATTCTTTATTGAATAACACATGGTGTTGTTCAAATTAGAGCCTAGATTTGAGAGCAATCGGGTGCCATTTGTTGTCAATTCACAAAATTTGGTGTAGGTACTTCCATGTTTCGAGATCCATTACAAATTCGTGGAAAACCTTCATCCTGAAATGGTCAAATTTAAAGGATCGCATGATGACGCCACATCCACTCTTTCAGTTATAGAACTTTTAAGTCTTTATTAATCAGTTAAAATAAATTTTATTCAACCAAATTGCATTAATGGTCTTTCTCTTATTTATCGCCTTATATTTTAATTATTGCCAGTGTTATGTAGTGCCAACGATTTGGTTGTCGACTGACTAGCGGGTGTGAAGGGGAGTGTGATCAAAAAAGAGCGTGGCAAGTCACTGAGTGAAAGCGGGCAGAAATAGCGTGACCCATGCGTACCAGCGTCTTGGGCAACTTAAATACCTCCACGTAAATATATAAACATCACCAAATAACAGCCAACCAGCTCCCATCGGTCGATAAATTTGCATGAATTGCTTCATTTTACTTAATCGAGCTTACTTCAATAACTGTTACTAATATTTCATGGGTTATCCAAGACCAACTTTGATTAGATTTAAGAGGCAAAATAGCGCTTTTGATCAACTTCAACAATATTAATGGGTTATTTAAGTGGTAAATCCTACAAGTAAAAGTGAGAAGATGTAATGACAAGATCTTGACATGAAGTTTGAATGGTTTTGCTGTTTGCGGTAGGAGGGAGTAGGTACTGAGTTGATAAATTGCGTGTCGGTCTCAGACACCCCGCTCACATACTGGATAACACTCGCTCCCACAGATAAAGCGTCATTTTAGTCGTTCCTTCGCTGGCAAAAGAAATTGTCGTTCTGACATCCACCTTCCTACTGTCTAGTCCATAATTTCAACTCTCTCACTCCCTCTCTCTTCCTTTCTGAGTTTACAGAACTGGCAGTAGTCCACAATCAAACTCGCAGATAACCAACAAACTAACGAGAGAGAGAGAGAAAGTTTAAATTTTGAGCTCATTTTCACACTACTCTAATGCTCAACCGGGCAAAGCTATATTTAACTGATTATCTACGATAGCTATCTACTGCGGTCTACGGCTTAATAGGCCATCTAATTTGCCTCCCTGGGCGCACCTAATGGTCCTCGTTCAGCTCGCTCTAATCTTTTTTTTATAAAATAATTTTTTCAAGTTGCTTATTTCAAAAGCGAGAATTGTTTCTCTTGAGTGGCCTCATTTTGGTACTTGTCCAACAGTACATCGTGTGCTAATCCTAGAAAGACCTTCTGTCAAGATAATTCCTTGTTCGCACGAACACTGGCACGCAACAATGTGGTACCCAAGGAGTGAGGTGAGCAGTGGGGTTTGAGAAAAGGGGAGGAGGAGAGTGAGTGGGGAAGTGAGAAGGGCGGCCAGCAACTTTGCCTCTCGGATTCTGCTTCCGCAAATTTGGTATTTGCGTGCCAAGGCTACATCAAAGCCACAGTCTTCCTTAAACACACTTGCTCACTCACACATTTCCACATACGTACAAATTGCTTCCCAAACCTCGAAAACGAAACGCCAGTTAGAACAGCCTCGACTACTTTTTCTCACAATAAATTTAACAAAATACAAGACTATCATTCCCCACCCCCCCCCATCTATTGTCTAGAATTAATTATGCTATTCGAGCCCATAGTTGAAAGAAAAAAACTTGTTAGGTGCCAACTTCCTCAAGTGGTTATTCAATAAACATGAATAAGTAAGTTTCCAATTTCTAACTGTACATTTTAACTGAGGTTTGAATAAAATTTGAAAGAGGTATAGAAGTGAAAATATCTCGTTGAAAAGCTCTGTTAGAAAGGTCTATTAAGTGGGATTTAGAAGTGCGAACCAAGTATTCATTTTCAATTGTCCCTATAAAATGGTAATCAACGCCCCATTTATCGGAATAACTTTCTTTAATCCTCGCTTTAATAACTTGTATTGGTTTATCAAACGCATAAATGAGTAAATCCAGATGGTCTGACTCTGGTAAGTAGAAATATTAGGCTGAAATCGATTACTCAAAAGACGGATATGAGTATAAGAGGAGAAGTTGATGAGAGAGGTCGGCGGAAGTCCGTTTCAGTGTCAAGTCTGGAGAGGGATAGAGTAAGCGCTAGTTTCTCTATCGATCTGTAAGAGAGAGAGAGAGAGGTAGAGAGAAAGCTTTTCTTTAATTAATTTTCCGGAAGTTTACAGTTACTGATGCTGTTGATTTTTCTCTCTTCTGCTCCCACGCACCTGTCCAGTCTCTTTTGTCTAAATCCTCTCCCATAAAATTGAATCAAGCGGCGGTCCTTCCACTACTCACACTGTTTTGACTGACTTTTCGCATACAGTCCCATTAAAAGCAGGGATTTTATTTCATTCATCTCTACTTATCCATTGGAAATTTCAAATTAACTGAATTCGGACGAATAGAATAATTCTCATTAAAATTGTATTCTACCCTGGTCCTAAGTTAAAGATTGATAATTAATAAATGAATGGCTGATAATTTACTGATTTGTCTATCGAGGGGGACAGAAGGTGAATACCGCTGACAAAACATGGCAATCGAATGACACCTTTTGTCAAAAAGGGGGGAGGGGTACACAATTAATAAGACATTGATTAATTCTTCGTTTTCCTCGGTTACATTTCAGGTCCACATGATCAATGAAAAGTGACCGACAATACTTATGCTCTTCTTGTAAAGAAAAATAACTCTTAATTTTACTTAGTAACTTTCGATTGCTTGAATTTAGTACCTTAGGATTAGTGAAAATGGTAGTAATAGATTGGTTTCGATCAGACCATCAGACCACTTCTCAGGTTAGGATGAGAAAACTCACACAAATCAATCAATTTCATGTGTGGTGTCCCTTTAAACTAATCAGCAGTGTTCGTTTCATTAAAATCGTAATGATTGAACTCAGTAACTGCGATTGGATAAAATGAACGAATATTTTACAAAAGTAATCTGTTAGCTTCTCGTGCTTTTCGATATTCCAGAAAAGAGAGCTGAATATGGCTGTGATTGACACTTCTAATTGAAAAAAGTGTGAAAGCCATCATCTCTCCTATCAATGGAAGAATCCTTATTCAGAGGTGGTCTTTTCGGAAGAAATGATTAGCAGATAATTCTGCAAACAAGGACAGAGGAAGCTTATTTTGATATGGTGCACAATGTTACCTCCATGCCAAATTACCTTCAATAGCGCCATATTAACTGGCGTTAAAAATCTCCCAATTGTTTGACAGCATTAAACGTTTGCAAGATAGGAAATAATAGGTGAAACTTAACGTTGGAAACAAAGTGTGTTGCGATGAAAAATCAGATCATAGATTTATTTTACGGTCTTTAAATTTAAGAAAAGAATGCAACTTGAAAAATTTTGCTTTTATTAAGCACTGGTCACAGAATCTTAGTTTTGAATATTAGGCACGCGATCGGATGTTCCTGTTGACACTTTCTGAATCAACGAAAAAGCCGAAACGTCTTTCAAATTAACTTTAATTAGACTACTTTTGTCCGAAAAATCAAGTTCAATTGTTGCTTTTTTCCCTCTTGAAAAAAGACTGCTAACCATCTTCTTGTGTTTCTCCTTTAAAGTGGATATCGGCTACATCCAGCTTGGCAGATCAGTCGCAATTCAACATCGAGAATTTGGCGAACAACTTTCACAAAGCAGTAGTGGAGGTGGAAATCTCGACCACCAGTCCAAGACGGATGTCGCTGGGACAGAAGAGCTCGGTGGTAGTGCGGACTCTAAAGTTGTCAATGCAGAGCGTAGACGATTGTCCTCTCCCAACTCCGATTCCATTAATAATAGACAAGAACCCTATCTAAATCCAAATGACCCCAATCATAATACCAATGGCACCAGCAATCAGAATATGAAGGTTAGTTTGAAATAACGTGATAATTATAGCTTTGCCACATAATTGTCCTTATAAGTTCTTTCTGCCTGAGCACACAGCTTAAATTAAATAAAATGATCAAGTTGATAGTACTAGGATAATTACATCCGTTATTTGTCACTAAATGAATGCTGAACGTTTCTTAAAACGTTTTAGTAATTCGAAATCTACTTACCACTCAGAGCCGACTCAAGTAGCATTAGGCGTACACATGCAGTTGGAAACAATCACTTATGAGATGGATGTTATTGGAGCTGAGGGTATTGAAAAGGAATCGAACGAGGGCGGTTATTTGTTTGCTAGAGGAGGTCAAACAAATTCTTCTTGCTTGGTTATGCCGAAAATGATCAGTTAAATATGTGGGGTACGATGTTTAATAAAGTATAGAAGGTCATGGTAATTGTGAAATGGTGGAAACGCCTTTCTAAAAGTTAGAAGGTAGGACTTTTTAACGTTGAGCAGTCACTGGGTTCGATTTGTCCACATGAGATTTGAGATTAATATTTTTCAGTTCTGGCTAACGTGAGCTTAGTGCTAAATAGGTCTGACAAGTTTCATTGCATTAAGACTTGTCTCCCTATCTCTGACTGTCAATTCCTCACAAACACCTTTTAGATTCAGTCCACTGAAATGAAGTAAATCAAAATAGTTCATTCTCAAAAACGCTAAATTCCCTGAGTTATATTTATTTATTTCAAATGGCGGGCTATATGATACTTATAATTAGCCCTTTAGCTGACTTCAGGTTTCACAGAGGGGAGGAACATCAAAGTGAGAAACAGTGGAGAGGGGGATTAGAAGGGCGTTTCAAAGATGTAAAAGAAACAGACACCAAGGCAGATAAAAGGTAAGATGAGTCCTGTGGAAGTGGTCGAATATGACATACAGTCGGGGCATGGTAATTTGAAGTCAGAATTCAACTTCCAGTTTATAGACTTTTTGCTGTATGAGTAAACGTTGTCCAGGGTGCACCACGTGGAGGTAAGTCTGTCACACACCCCTCAGTCTCCAAGTAATAAGCAGTAACTTGAAACCGGAAAGTAATGTAATCATTTTCACTAACTTTTCCACGAGATGCAAATATGATATCATCAAGAAAAGATATTTACAATTTACTTATAATTCCTATTAGTCCGCCAGTTTGTTTGGCTTAACCTATGCAAGTTCTTCATTTCCCTTGTACTCTCAAACTGCATTTTGATAAGTGCAAAAGCTTGCAGAGTAGGTGAATACTTGGCCATTAAAATACGGTCCACAAATTGACTAAAATTTCAGAAATTCTAAGTGACTTGAGAAGGTAAGAAATATCTTACCAACACACAGGGAGAAAAAACTAGCCATTTCTAGGGTAACACTGGAGCCAAGGCTCTCTAGACGCCCGAAAACCGAATCGCAATTATTTTGTTTTAATTAGCCCAATGTGTCCTATGTGTAAGTATCTACGTGTTTAAGGTTGGGGGCAGTTGTCCAGTAGCGGAAACAGAAGTCGTAGAAGTATGCACGTGGTTATCAAGGAGTCAGAATCACCACTCCGCTACCCCCCTCCCCCTCCCCCCACACACCCCACAGCCCCTCACTACTTAGTAATGTCTATCAGTTAGCGGCAGAGTTGCTTAAGAGGCAAGCAAGACTCCATTGGCGCCAACTAATTGACTTGTCCTGGCCTTAGAGTATGAGCAGTCATAGAATGGAAAGACCGTCTAGGGGGAGGGGAGGGGGGGGTGGAGGAGGAATGGAATGGGATGCAAAAAGATGGCATCATTAGAACCACTTGGCGCCATTTAAGAGAGAAATATTCCCTCGCCCCTCCCTACACTTTCTATTCTCAGCCTACCGATCACCATTAATGCAAGAAGGGAAAACGACATACGCACTTGTCCAATCTAGTCGCCGTTTTACTAAAGGGTGGCTGTTAGTCCCTGTAGTCCACTCGACAAAAATGCTCTTTTCCTTCTCCATGTGTGCCCACCTTGTGAGAAAGTAACATTATCGTGAGCTGATCAAAGATGCATTTTACTCTCCTTTCTTTTCCATTCGGCAAATTAAGTTGTTTCTAATGAAAAATAAGATTTTAATTTGGAAAAAATTCCCATTAAGAAAATGGAACAATGTAGGAATTTACTCAATCACGATTACTTTTTTGAGAGGTCTTACTTGAGTTTCTTCACCACAAAGAAAATTTGCTTGGTAGGCTAATTAATTACTAGCACATTTGGAAGAAAATTTGGATTAATGAGGTTTCTTGGAATGATAGACGGGTCTTGTGGTATTTATCACAATTTGGAAATAGACAAGGTGAGGTAGTGAACAGACTGCAGTTGAATTAGGACAAATTACTTTTAAATGTGCTTTTACTTGAGGCTGATTCTAACCAGCCTTGCATGGTGGTGACGCCCTAAGCATACCTCAAGTGAGGAATGACCTTAATTGCATCCGACTGAAGGGGTGAGTTTGTGCATTGTCCAAGCCTCCTTTTGACATGCACATGCAGGGGACGAAGAGTACTGTACCAGAGAGAGGGGGGGG